TAACATGCACTTGTGAGGAATGTAAAGTTAGACTGTTTTTAGCTGGCCCCTAATTTTAAAGCAAACTATACCAGTGAGCAATATTAACATCATTACATTTACCCTCTGACCTAAAGAGCAATTAATTGGCAGCAAAACAGTTTATGTTTTTATATGCCATTAAGCACAAAAGCCTCAATTTTGAGCATATTTCTTTAACAGCTGATATTGTTAGTGCACATTTGTATCTTTATATATGCTGCTTGTTCACTTGAATGTCACATGCATCAAAAATTGATTTTATTTAATGTTGTTAGTCTCTTGCCAAGCTAGCAATTAGCCACTCAGTAGCCAATTTATTTTTTTTGTTTTATTGTTTAACCTATATTTTACCAGGGAGAAGGCCATTGAGGTTTCAAACCTCCGCTTATAAAAACAGACAGCAACAAGATCATCGTACAGTAGCATAGCATCAGGTCATTTTTAGATCAGTTCTTGCCCAGACAAGAAAATAACAAACCAAAATCAAGGTGAGTAAATGTGCATGCCACAGAAATACAGCAGAGATGTTTGTTACTTTACATGTGCTTTTGTTTGCAATACGTTGACATTTTACAAATTAAAGGGATCCACCGTTCTTTCTCTGTCACAAATGATAAGAAGAATGTTAATGAGCATTGAAATTAGAAATTATTCCTCACCATGAATATTTGAATTTGCTGTGGTGAAGCCTTTAATAAGACGAGCAAACACAAATTACAAATGTCATTAACTTTCTAAATGAACTTTAAAACTTCGGGGAAATCAACCTATTTTTGGAAATTGGTACAGAGGGGAAACAATTCATATGACCAGTGCTAAGCTTGGTATAATGCCTAACTCTGTAACAAAACTGTGATTATTCAAAGTTGGCTCAGTATTCATTCATTTTTAACCATGACAGTTTTTGTATCATCCAGTTGGAATTAAACCTTGCTTCATGGGAGCATAAAGGGCAACACACATCAGGGTTGCCCCATCATGGGACGCAGTTCCAGTGACACCCATAACCCATACCATGGCGCAAATTCAGTGTGGACTGTTAAAATGGGTCAAGAGTTTAGTATTTCATTGTTTTGATGTGCAGGGGTTCACCACCAGTGTGCATTGCCCTTACATTTGAATGTTTTAAGCACAACTCATGGCAGTACATGTTTTAAAAAAAAAGATTTAATTGATTGCATTTAAACAAAATAGTTCAGAGGAACTAACACAGGCATCTTTTAAAACATCTCTGTGGCTGCCCACTGAAATTTTCAAAGCAAATAAAGAATTCTGTGTAAAAGATGTCAATCTGGATGGTAGCCAAACCATTCAAAAGTGGTAAATCCTCCAGAACCTATTCAAAACAACACAGAAACCAGAGTGCAAATAGTATAAGTATGCTCACCAGCAGCATGTTTCCAGACTGGAACACTGGGCCAAGAGGCTTAAGTCAGCTGAGCTGAGCAGTGCCTTGGAAGTATCAAAGAAAATAGGAAATATTTCAAACTATAGCTACAGAAGAGCTTGTGTTAATGCTCCCAGCAGTGGATGTATGTATCACTTTATATGTTGGACAAATTTGTTGCTAACCAACCTCAAAAATAAAATGGATCTCCTTTTCATTTGTTTTGTTTGGCACATCAGTCAACAAAATCAAAACACAAACAAATCTAACTGATTGAAAGGATCTGTCCCACAAGAACTTGTTCGTTTTTTTTTTTTCTTTTCTTAAATGCTAAAACTCGAAGCAAATCTAGACTGTATGAGAACACTTAGCACTTGGTATCTGTTGTCCTACAACAGAGAGGTCAAACCTAAAAGGAAAGCTGCAAAAGCTGAATTCAGGACCACTGTAGATGGTGCCAAAAATGACGAGCGCAAATTTAGTGAAAAGACTGTGACTTCAGGAAACTTGATGTGTTAGATTTACTCAGTCAGCTGTAAAAAGTGATGCGGATACTTGAAGGTTGGTGAGGTTATACAAAATGACAGTGACACTAAAGGGAGAACTAAAGTGACTGAGTTAACTGCCATGGTTAGAAGAATAAAAACCCTAGTAAAAGATATGTAGACACTTCACTGAGTAATACATGAGAAAAGTTACTTGTATTAGGCTAATTACATAATATACAATCTTTTTTTTGTTTAGCTTCAGTGCAAAACCATGTCAAAGATTCATTTTAGTGCAGCTTAAAATTTGCAATGTCTATTGTGTGCTTGTTAATTTAAACCTCAGATCAGCAACTAGATGATTGTGAGCTAGAAACTGATTAAAAAAGCCAAATCCAGTTTTACCTGAGCAAAAATTTGCAATGTCTAGAAAACAGCCGTCCCTGGTAGGCTAGTGGTAAAGGCGCAGCGCTCTTGCCGCTACCCCCCGGGTTCGAATCAGGGTTGCGTCAGGAAGGGCATCCAGCGTACGTAAAACACGTGCCAAAATGTCAACATGCGAGTTGCCAGTGTGACAATTCGCTGTAACAAGGGTAGAAGCTGCACAATGTGGCTAGCTAGCTAAGGCTGACCAGGTTAGGAGAAACTAAAGTGGTTGCTCCTGTATCCAGTTCACCTAAACCTGTGCATATCAGCTGAGTGCTGCAGGTAACATGCAGCATGTGTTTTGGAAAACACAAACTTTTAAAAGCATCATTTGATGGTGGGGGAGTTAATAAGGATCATATGAGCTCACCAACATTTTGAAACAACCCAGTAAAACAGGACACTGCTACCAAGACACTGATTAAATGCAGCTTTTACAGTTTCAGCTTCAAAGTTGTATAAAGCCTTTAGTGCAGGGGTGCTCAATACGTCGTGTTGGTGGATCGCGTGCCATTCAAAAATAAATTGGATGTATCCAGCGTAAAACGCGTGCCAAATGTTAACATGCCAGTGTGACAATTCGCTGTGGCGACCCCTAAAAAAAAAAAACGGGAAAAGCCGAAAGTGACTTTCTTTCAGTGTACCTAGAAAACCTGGACACCCAAAGAAAATGATGATTTGCTCATTTTGGTACATGGAATGTTATGGAGGGAGTTCTGCTTAAAAGATGTCATGTCATGGTAAAATGAACCTTTGCTCTGTAGGCCACCATTTCCATCTCTGCAAGATGTGAAACGAGCCAACCCAACCTACATGGACATGACGTCTGCTGCACAAGGAAAGCGTAAATTTAACCGGTAATATGCCACAAGCCTTTCTTCTTATATTCATGTATAGCCATCCTATTTTATACTGTGAGCACATTCAACACTGGGCAAATTCTGAGTACTATTAGGAGGGAATCCTGTTACGAATGATGCAGCATATTTAATGTTCTTAAGCTACATTTTTATTTTCTCTTTTATTCACTGTAGAATCAGAGAAGACTTGTCACAGGGTCACTCTGCACCAAAGCGAATAAAAAAGGACCCCCCGGTAGCTCAGAGACCGCTCAGAGTGCATCGGTTTACTGGTACGTTTCGACACAGAAAAACACAGCTGAAGAAGTGAGAAAGGGAAGCAATTAACACTGCACACTGTCATTGTCAATACTGCACACATATACTGGATTAGTTTGTTTTGGGGTTTTTTTTGTGTTTTAAGTGCACCAATAATTATTTTGTCTTGTACAGTGCAGATTTCTTTTGGAGGCTGACCTTCATTTAGTTTTAATCTTGTTTTGTTTTAGTGAAATTTTAGTCAACTAAAGACTAAAGAAAGTCTAGTTTTGGTCTCATCTGTGCATTCTGCTATTTTTATTTGTATTTTTTAAGCATTTTGCAGCCATCTTTATTGTGTACAGTTACCAAGGTTACAGGTGTTTTCTCATCTATTTATTGTGTCAGTGGAAATGGCTGTTTATTTATCTGCATAGCAGTGAATCAGAAGCTGGATTCACTCACATTTTGATTAAAATACTGTTCACTGGGTTTAGCTTGAAAAGATAAGATAAACCAATGTGTAACACTAATATAGTAATATTTCCTTAATGATCAATTAGGATGGTTGACTGCGGACATAAAACCTTTATCTTATTCATTCTTTTTGATAGCAACTCAAAAGATATACTACTGAAAGCAATGTTGACATTACATCCACATCAGCAAATGTTAAATTATCATACCTTTCCCTAAATGTTTTTCATAAATTCATAACTTTTTTTTTTCTAAAATCTTAAATGTATACATTTGTTAAGAGGTACAGTATCTGGAATGAAGAAGTGAAGTTCTGTTCATTCTTGATGCTATTCCTTGTTTGGTGTTTGTACTCAGGTTCAGAGGAGAACAAGGCTCGGAGAGTTGTGAGGAGCATTTCTGAAGGAAATCTCAGCCTCTTTGAACCTCAGAAATCCAAGTCCATTTTCTATAAAACATCCCAACAGCTCAAACGTGTGACCAAACATTTGTAAAGCAACAATGTGTTCAGATCTGAATATTTTTGCCCTCCACCCTTCTATCTGTGTTGATCGTTTGTTATAAATGTTTTCATCAAAACTTGTTGGGTTTCCCAATACCAATCCTAATGTAATTAGATGGAATGTAAGGTAGCTTTTCGTTATTTACATTGCAGTGGAATTTTACTTGACTGTATAGAAACATTTTATAGTTACTGGTCATCTGTTTAGATTGCTTTTTTTGATAGTTTAAGGACAGTTTTTAATCATTTCTAACCCTTCACTTAGAGTTAAAGTTATATTTTAGAAGACACATTGACAGCAAGAACTAAAACCAGTCAACCCTCTGTTTTATGTACATTATGTGCTATAGCTGTTATCTAAAGCAATGACTGGTCTGGTGGGGTGACCACTCTTCCCAGGGCAGCTAATGTCACCTCAAATGGGAGGTATGGCTGCAAAAAAATGCAACTTTTCAATATTGATCTGTTTGCATTTATATTTTTAATGTTGTACAGTTAATAACATGGAGGCATAAATATTTCATATTAAAACTGTAATAGTACGTACGTTTTTCAATAAATCACTTCCTAACATGCAATCGCTGGATTATTTGTTTGGTTGTTTGTGCTATCAATGTTCAGTCTGTAAGATGTTTTCAGTTACATTTGGATTACATGATGTTCTACTGATAGGTGACAGGCTCAGGGAAGGTGGAAAATTAAAATGGCAAGAAAAATTGAACCAACCTAGAAGTTATTTGTAAAATATTTCTCAAAGAGCTCTCGTTGTCTTATCAAAAAGCAAGTTTTTCATATGGACTTATACTTACAGTGCTTTTCTATGCATTGCGGGACTTTCACACTATTGTGCACCATATGCACATATGGATAAGTGAATGCACCATTCAGCAGAGCACAATCTACACATTAAGTCATGAAAGAGGTTTTTTTGCTAATTCAGACACTACTGTCCACTTACTTTTGTTTTAATAAAAAAAGCATATAGAGAATGAATGTCAATAAGCCATTTTATCTTTTGCTTTATACCCATAGGTGGGTTTCCATCCACTTGTTACTATGTGCAATTTGCGTGTAGTTTCTGCGCTACAAAACAAAAAGTAAATCAAATTTGGAGTGGACTAATAAGGAAATTATAACCTTTTTAATGCATGAAACTAACATGCCTATTTCCAAAATGATCATGAATCACTTTTATTAGCTAAGTATGTTACACCAACAAGTAATTTGTCTATGGTACAGAACCGAGGCAGCCATCTGCAGTGCCAGCTCACACACATACACACACTGATGGCAGCACTGTCCCTGCAAGGTGCCGCTCTGGTCATCGGGGACAACATGGGGTTCTGTGTCTTGCCCAAGGACACTGCAACATGTGGAATGGGGAGAACAGGAATTAAACCACCAACCTTCTAGTTTGAGGACAAACATTCTACCTCCTGAGCCACATTGTTTTTCATAATTTAAATTTTGGCTGGCACTCTTAATTATGCCATCTTATTTTCCATCTTTTGCAATATTTTAATGGCATCCAGCTGTAAAATTGATGCCTTTAACTTCATCTTGCCCCTCCTTGAATCGCCACCTTATTGTGGTTGAGGGGTTTGAGTACCCGAGTGATCCTAGGAGCTATGTTGTCGGGGGGCTATATGCCCCTGGTAGGGTCTCCCAAGGCAAACAGGTCCTAGGTGATGGGTCAGACTAAGAGAGGTTCAAGAACCCGTGACGTCGCCTGGTATGGCGCAGCCAGGGCCCCACCCTGGAGCCAGGCCCGGGGTTGAGGCTTGAATGTGAGCACCTAGTGGCCGGGCCTCTTCCCAAGGGGCCCGGCCGGGCTTAGCCTGAATGAGCGATGTAGGGCTCACCACCTGTAGGAGGATTTCGTGAGAACGTCCTCCCGTGGGCCCACCACCTGCAGGATGTGTAAGGGGCTGGTGCACAGTGGATCGGGCAGCAGTCGAAGGCAAGGGCCCTGATGACCCGATCTCTGGACACGGAGACTAGCCCTGGGGACATGGAATGTCACCTCGCTGGTAGGGAAGAAGACCGAGTTTGTGCGGGATGTTGAGAGGTACCGGCTAGAGATAGTCGGGCTCACCTCCACGCACAGCTTGGGCTCTGGAACCATACTTCTTGAGAGAGGCTGGACTCCTCCACTACTCTGGAGTTGCCCACGGTGATAGACGGCGGGCTGGTGTGGGCTTTCTTATAGCCCCCCAGCTTAGCTGCCATGTCTTGGAGTTTAACCTGGTGAATGAGAGGGTCGTTTCCCTGCACCTTCGGGTCAGGGATAGGTCTCTCACTGTTGTTTGTGCCTATGGGCCAAACGTCAGTGCAGAGTACCCGGCCTTCTTGGAGTCTCTGGGAGAGGTGATGAAAAGTGTCCGTCTGGGGACTCCGTCGTTCTACTGGGGGACTTCGACGCTCACGTGGGCGACAACAGTGATACCTGGAGGGGTGTGATTGGGAGGAACCCCCGACCCCCACCCCACCCCGATCTGAACCCGAGCGGTGTTCTGCTACTGGACTTCTATGCTAGTCACAGTTTGTCCATAACGAACACCATGTTGAAGCATAAGGGTGTCCACCAGTGCACGTGGCATCAGGACACCCTAGGCCAGAGGTTGATGATCGACTTTGTGGTTGTTTCATCTGACTTCTGGGCGTATGTCTTGGACACTCAGGTGAAGAGAGGGGCGGAGCTGTCAACTGATCACCACCTGGTGATGAGTTGGATCCGATGGAGGTGGACTCGTCCATCACCTAAGCAGAAGTCACTAAGGTAGTTGAGAAGCTTCTCGGTGGCAAGGCACCAGGGGTGGATGAGATCCGCCCTGAGTACCTTGAGTCTCTGGATGTTGTGGGGCTGTCTTGGCTGACATGCCTCTGCAACATCGCATGGCAGTTGGGGACAGTGCAGATCGAGGTGGTGGTCCCTCTTTTCAAGAAGGGGGACCAGAGGGTGTGTTCCAACTATAGGGGGATCACACTCCTCAGCCTCCCCGGAAAAGTCAATGCCAGGGTACTGGAGAGGAGAATTCGACTGATAGTCGAACCTCAGATTCAGGAGGAACAATGCGGTTTTTGTCCTGGCCGTGGAACACTGGACCAGCTCTATACCCTCTTCAGGGTGG